AGACTTTGCGATCTGCTACCTTCATAGCTTTGAATTTAGCTTTAGTCAAATTAGTTGCCATTTTGACAACGGTTTCTTGAAGTTAACGAGCGAATTTTCGGCTAAATACGCGGAGCTTTTACATATTATTTTTGTTTCATTCAGCCATGTTTGTCTCGAAAAACCAATTAGTGAGCACGTGTTTCCACTTACGGAAACAACCGCCAAAGTGGTCTATTGCACGGCCAAACGATTTCGTGTCCATGTTGAGGGATAGCCATTCGTTCTTTTAAATACTTCCCAAAGAACACTCACTTCCTCGTACGTGAAACGATGTCTTCTGACACGTCGCCTGAATTGTAATCGTCTCCTCGCTAAATATTGCATACACACCAACACTTTTGCCGCATTCTTTTCTAACTCTCGTTTTGAAATGATTCTTTTCAAATTCACCAAAATATTACAGTAGCCACCATTATCTCTTCACTCCCCATCTTTACTTACTTTGCGTATACGTACGCGACCATCTTTGCGTACGATCGATCTCGGTCCGACCTACGTAGGTTAACCGCGGTTTTTGTTAGGTTATTTCTGGACAGTACTGCGTCTGCATATGTACGTTGCTAATAATTACACAACCCGCCTTTTCTTCTGTTCCTATAATATCTGCATGGATATTCACCTGCCGCAGTTCGTTAAGTATTAATTTTGAAATCAAAAAATCAGATAGACAAAAGTTAAGTAGCTACCCCAGGGTCTACAATTTCAAAACGTGATAGCAACGTCGTAAAACCACTTCCTACCAAAGTGAGTGAGAAGGAATTAATCCCTGTATAATTATTCGCCATAGCATGAAAGTTTTTGCATTTTAAAGTTTTGAAATTGCCCGAATGTCCAACTCATATCGTGCAAATTTATACCAGTTCAGATTTAAGTAAACATTATTAAATCAGATATATAGTTTGCAGCTGCAGGGAAAACCTGAAAAAGCGTATTCATTTAGCATCTTTATATGCAGAGCCAAGAGACTTTTTACCACGGCGCTATATCTGATACGTATGACCTTAACGGTTATATTTTACAAACCAAATGAGAATTATTTATTTGCCTGAGAGTTGACAATTGCACCATTGTGCTGTTTATGAGTTTAAGAGTGAGGAGTTCGCAACTAATTTTGATAATAATTTTTTAAGTATTAAGTCCGACGATTAAAGGAGAATCTATACTGCTTTCCACAGCAATAACTTTTTAGGCTGCAATGGCTGGTAATAACCAAATAATTGTGTCTTAAAAGAAACCAGTCAATAACCGCATTATTTCATCGCTTGGAATTGAATTAGATTCTAATTGGCGCTTATACACGCATTAACGTTCCCGCGCCCCTTGTTGTAAACCTTCGAAGACTAATTGAGATTTTATTTAAAAACCTAACTTTTCATTTAGTTTAAATTTGGCTAAATTTGAAGCGCATCGTCCTGGTTAAAAGACAAAATTTTATCACACAAAGTCATGTCAGAATCAGGTCCATGCACTGATGGTGCACAATCCATAGTTTTCTTTACTTGCATGGTAAATTCACCGGTTCGTGTGTCAAAAATACTTCTTCTAAATGTGGAAGTGATGTTAGGAGGAAGAGAGGATGAAAACATACGATCTCAGATCAAACTGGGAATGGTGCGAAAATTGCATTTTACGCGATAGAACATATGCCTGAAACTAGAAGAAAGCGTCAAAACCGATTAATCTATTGCACTGGTTAAATTAGGTTTCCAAAACTTTCCGTGTTTTTGAACACAATGCTGACAATACCCGGAATATAAAATATTTTAAACTGATGTAGTTAGCTGTAAACGGGCGTATAACCGGACAGGTTGTGGAATTGCGACACAAGCGGAATGATGAGTTTAACGAGAGATTAACAATGAACTCATAATGGACATGACGAAACCAAACATCGCCAAACATTTTTCAAAACTGAGTGTTGAAAAAATGCATGAATTACGGTATGTAACCAAACCTATGCATGCAATCGCACCGATGGGAGTAAAAACAGAGATAACTGTTTACGGTATTAGAACAGTGAGCACGAGTGTTCGGTTCAAACTAGAGATAGAAGTTGTAATCAAGCGAAAACAAACCACGCAGCCTGATTCGATAGTACGTATGAAAAGAAGCCACTTTCCTTTTGGATCCAGCTACGGCAGTTGAGGAGCATGGCCGCCTTAGAATTGATATGATATTTATCCAATTCATGTTGTCTATTATCCAATTCATTGGCTCTTGATGTAACGCAAAGATACATTTCATTGCCTATATTACTCTAGACTACAAGTGGGCGAAAATTGTTTTTACGCCAACATAGGTGAAATTTCTCTTGGTGAACGAACCACTTTAGCGATGAGCAATTCTCTTTTAACTTCAATATAAATTATGCCTGTACTGCATCAGTTCAGGTTGTCGACGATGATGAGCTCATAGATCGATTTATCGACATATGTCGATTTATGAACTTCGAGAAACATTTTTAACCCTTGTGAAAATAAATTAATTGATACGCGTGGGCGAAACAGGGTGTCTCAAAAAAACTCGCAACACTTAAATATGCAAGAACATTAATACAGCTCTAAAGCGCAATAGATAAGCACCTCTGGGAATTGAATATAATTCTTAATCCTTCATTTAAAATGCTAAAAGTCATTTTAACTGAACTATGGTGCAAACCCAAACAATATTAGTATTCTTGCACATTTAAGTGTTGCGTTTTTTTGAGACACCCTGTACGTTTCTGATACGCCTATGGCTATAAGATGGAAATACATTTTGAGAAAGTGTTAATAATTTATATTACCAATTTATACTGCATTGTTTGCATTTCAAATATTTATAGATTACTTGAAGAGGGTGCAAAATCTTTTGTGCGTGATATGTTTTTGGTACACTACACTTAACTCTAAGGTTTACCTAAAAGGATGAGTACAGCTGTTAAAACTGCAATTTTTTACTTGGAAATCTTTAAATGGGCAAATAAAAGAGTGGAAATATCGATAATTTCTTACTACATTAGTCAGCTAAAGTCCGTTATAAATTTTGTGCATCTTAAATAAGCTCACTGTTGTCAAGGAGCAGTGGCGTTGCTAGCTAGCTTACTAATTGGGGGAGGTCATATTCAATTGCTGCCGCAGCGAGCGAGCCTGAAGCAAAAGAGTCAGGCAGATCAAAATATGTCTTTAACGCATTGCATGGCAGTACCAGTGGCAGGGACGGTTAGCATATTTTATATATTTTTTGGGGAGAGGGCTGAATTTAAAAAGTTGATTAAAATAAAATGGATTAAAAGCCATCATAAATATAAAAATTTGCGAACCACTACCACACAAAATGCAACCCAGAAATGTCAATGCAATCCATATAGCCAATACTCCGGGTTCGGCACACCGAGAAAAATTGAGTAGTTACTTTCACGGGCGAGCAGCAATTTGTCAACTTTATTTCTACATGTTTGTATACATTAATTCGTCATGTATTTTGGGGGGTCATAACATTCCATGTTTTTTATATTAGAATAAATTTCCTTTGGCGCATTGTATTAGGTTGCCAGTAGATTCTGAATATAAACGATACATAATACTTTTCATCACAACAAAGCTAGACATCGGGTGAAACCTCAAACTATGGTCTGCCACCTTGGTCTTGAATATTCAACGAACTTATTATTCTTTTAGAGATTCCTAATGTTGCAAACGCAAGAGATGTACTTCAGGATAACGAATTGGGCATAATAATGTTTATGATCTAGCGATCCTGCGAAAAGGCGCGGAAAATCTAATAAAGCAGGCGACATAACAACACGTGAATGCGCCACTGGTCAGCGGAAAAATAGCAACTGATAATGGAATTTTGCAATACGCTTTCTATGAAACCACGTAAATATAGTATCAAAATTTTCTTCAGAACGAAGGGATGATTCGGTTGGAATCTACACACATAACCCGTAATGAAAACCATATTATTCTAGAGATCTATATCTGGCAACGTCAATGAACCATCTTAAGAAACATTCACCGTCTATCGTATCGACACCATCAACGCCCAAGGTAGTTTTGCCAGTACATGTTCACCCATTCTCCCGGGATCCGGTTATTGCAACAGGGGAAATTTAAAACGAGAAACCAGGAACCCGAGAAGCATTCAAGTAAATTATAGAATAGCCTATTGAAAATATCTCGTCAGGATTCAATCATCTTTTACCGAAGTTACATCTATTTTTATCAACAGCGTTTCTTATAGAAATAACCCTTCCTCGCCCATTACTAGAAACTTATTTTAACCCTCAATCCAACATGCACAAAGCTGTATCTCAAATTTAAATCTGATACAAAATGAATGCGGTTGTGTTTTCAGAAGGACGCTCTAATTCGTCTCATTCCAATATTATCTTTATAGTTATTTCAAATTGAAGCAATTTCCGCTGTCTTTCGATCATGCCAGTCTAGTTGGTCTTTAAAAAAGTAATTGAAGTATCAACGGGGCTAGAATGCACAACGGATTAAATAACGGTTTTTTGGCAAACGTCAAAACGACAGTTTTAATAATGTCACGGGTTATGGCTTAAATTTGACTAACTTTGAAGCGCATCATCCTTGTTAAATAACAAAATTTATTACACAATTCCAGGCACTGATGTTGCGCAATCCAGAGCTGTCTTTAATTGCATGGCAAATTCACCGTTTCGTGTGTCAAACATACTTCTCCTAATTTTAAATGTAGATTTGAAAACATACGAACTCAGATCAAACTGGGAATGCTCCAAAAATTGCAACCCGCGTCGTCGGTCAATACCATTTTGCAGTTTTTATAGCATGATTGCCGTAGGTGACTGTTTCAACTTTAATTTTGCCTGAATATTATGGTACACTGTCTTGCACTTGCTTTTTGGAAGAATGTTAAGCAAGGATTTGATGAGCTATTAAACAGCCTATATATGCCTTTAAAAAACTGTATAATAATGTGATAATACATACCTGCACATCCTCTTCCGTTTATATAAATTCCGTTCTCGCACATACAGACGTAAGATCCTGGAGTGTTGTTGCATGACTTCAAGAAACCAGTAAGATTCATGCATGGAGATGATAAACATTCATCAATATCTAAACAAAATATAAAAATTAAAAGTGTTCAGTCATTTTGCTTATCTAATAAAAAAATAATGGCATACAGAGGACCAATGTCAAACTAGATTTACCCGTTTGATTAGCGGGTAGGACCAGTTTTATCCGGTATGACCACTTTGCATGTAAATCTCACACTGTTTGTAGCTATATGCATGTGGCAATGACGCCTTTAAGAAAGAGCTGTTTTAATTTATGTGTTGTGTTTAGAGAAGACAGAAGATGTAGCGTTGTAGGCATGCATATATAAGTTATGCTGTTATATATCTGATTGGTGGGTTATGTATTGAAAAGTAGATCATGCAGTATCAAATTAACGAAATCGTGCATGATATTACAGTAAGTTAATTGTGTCGCTTAAACTCTATATGATTGACTATCTATTATAAACACTGATAAGCGGGCGTGTTGCGTTAGTAGATAAAAACACAAGCCAAAGCCGAGGCCTTGTTGTATCAGTAAATGCAAACGCAAGCTGAGTGCGAGGCCGTGTTGTATTAGTAGATATAAACACAAGCCAAAGCCGAGGCCTTGTTGTATCAGTAAATGCAAACGCAAGCTGAGTGCGAGGCCGTGTTGTATTAGTAGATATAAACACAAGCCTAAGCCGAGACCTTGTTGTATCATAAGATATACACAAAAGCCAAAACCAAGGCCATGTTGTGTCAGAAAATGCAAACTCGAGCTGAAAGCGAGGCCGATGTGTTGTATTAGATTTAAACATGCGCGGAAAACGAGTGTTTTTATCTCTTATGAGACACGGTGGCGAATATTTTATTGTGATAAAACATTGTTTAGGAGTTAAGTAGAGCAATATTGTGAGGAAATTCAAAGTTGAAGTCAACAAAAATCAAGCAAATCTGAATTCGCAGTTATACGAAATTAAATACATTTCATTTTGAAATTCCTTCATGGATTTTTAATGAGTTTAACAAAAATGGTTCTACGGATTACGAATTTGCCGGGCAAAATCTAGAAAAAGAATAATGAATAAATAAATTAAAGTTTTCTTCAGGTGTCTTTCACTACAAAAAATTCTGCTATCCTGCAAGTGTAATTGACAATAATTTAGTAAATACCTGTGCAAGACTCTCCATCATATTTAGAGCCATTATCACAATGACATTTATCAGTACCATTAATATTCAAACAGTAGCCGTGACGACATGAAATATTTTGGCATCCACCTTATAAAATATAATTCAGAAATAATATCAAATTTTAGTTCGTATACAAACGCATCATTACCAATCAATTTGTCATTATTGTTCACATAAAATATTTCACTAATTGACTGCATAGCAGCATTAACTTCAAATATTGATGCTCGAGGGTATTTATTCCGCAAATATATTTATTACACCATGGTATTCCGACAGAACAATGCGAAAACTAAAACTTTCAAAGTATGTTATAGACGGCGGATGTTGGATGGTGTTTTTTGATATGCCCTTGCGCCGATATTTGCCCGAGAAATGAAACTTCCAGTTGATCACTTCTGATCTCAATAAGAACCTCTGCAATTAACTGGCATTTCGCGTACGACAATTTTAATGGGAAACTTTGTAGTGTTTTAGACATGTGATGACGAGCATGGTATGTTATTATGCAAAGACTTAACGAATATGAATGACTATTACATCCAGAAGCAAATGTAAGCAAACGAGAATGGAATGTGGGTGCTTCATATGATTTTGATCACATTTCATAATATTTTCAAACGAATACGGCCCAACGCTTTCAGAGAAAGTTTCTTTGCCGAGCTGACTCGAGCTATTTTCCTAAGTCTCATATACAACTTTAATCTCCCTTTCCATACCGGTGTACTTGATTTTGTATTTGGATATAGCCTTATCAATTTGTACAGTTATACATCCTTGGGCTATTCTTTTAACATCGGGTGAGAGGCATATTTTTTAAAGAACCGAACGGGAAAATAAATTAGCATGTACTGCATATTATTTTGACAATTCATTTAAACTTTGACGCCGTAAATTTTTACTAAAAGCAAAGGTTTTTGACCACCTTTTTAACGTTACAATAAGACTACAAATTATCAATCTTATACCCCCAATTATAACTCCGATTGATATACGTCCCTGATAACACAATTGCTTTAACTTGGAAAAGGGCTTTCGTGAAAACAAATGTCAAACTTGAGTGGACCGCTTAAAAAATTCAAGACATAATACTTGACACTTTTGCACCGTTTTGTTGTTTTATAAAGCCTTAAAGATTACATTTTTGCCAGAACTGCATGCATGAGATTGTTAGTGTTCCTAAATGAGAAAACTACCCGCTTCTTTGTTTTGGCAAATGCAAATGCGAATATGGTTTGACTGGGGGCCACCCTATTCTAGTATTTATCGCATTATCCGTAAATTATTAGAATTTTTACGTTATGTTTCTTGAGCGCGGAATATAGTAGACCAGGGTTTAAGGCCCTGTCCAAACGTATCCGGATAAATTTGAAAACGGATAAAAAATTTATCCAATACGGACTAGCAAACCAAAGTTCGCGGGTTCGATTCCCACCGTTGTGAAGGTAATTTTTCAGCTTACCTGGTTAGTGACTCAGAGTAGCCTCATCACATTATTCATTTCAAATATTTATCCGCTTTCAAAAAATCTGCGTCCACACGTTGTCGTTTTTGAACCGTTTTCAGCGTCAACACGAAAACGTGAAAACGATTTGAAAACGCTAACATCGCTTACTGAGCATGCTCCTAAGAGCGAAACATGTGCCCGCAATCTTCCACCCTTCTGGAATAACTATTTCCTGTAACAGGCACTTGTTCGCCCTGGTGTAATAAAAAAACGTCGAGATTTTACCTGACATCTTTGGTTGAGGCGTTTTGAGACTTTTTTTTAAGTCGGCAATGAGAGAAGCTGAATTATATTTCTGCGACGGCCACCGGATGTCAGTTTCTCTTCCGGTGGATATTTTATGAGTTTAGTTGTTGCCATCACGACTCAGCGCCAACCTGTAATTGGCTATTTTACCGTCGTCTCTAAAACGTGGCGCAAACAAGCTTTAAAACCCGACTACAATTGGCAACTAAGCCTGCAAGTTCGAAACCAAAGCCAATGAAGTGGACAGAAGACCACGATTTATTGTTAATGAGAGAAATGATGGTTAGTGATCTTTTTCTTTACAAGAAGAGGAGCCTAATAGAGGCGAAGTCTGGTATTCCATCGTTGAAAATCTAAACCGAATCGACAACCCTGCATTTGGATTGAAAGATAACAGAAGTGTGCGGACCGATGGAACCTATTAAAGACTTGATACAAAAAGAAAACCAGGAACGAGGAAGCTGCCAGTGGTATTGATGTTGATGACCTTACAGAGAGAGAAAGTATGATCGAAGAGTTGTGTGCTAAAGAAGACATCCAGTTTTGGTGATGTCGACACAGCTCTTAACCGAAAAGAAAGAGAAAATGCGAAAGACAAAACGAAGAAACGCACGACTGAGGATGCGGATTCTAGACCGAAAAAACACGTAGGTGAAGCTGCGAACTGATCGAATACCTTAAACAAAGACCGAGCACAGACAGCGAACTTCGTCGAGAGGAAATAGCGCTAAATAGAGCGAGCAGGAAATCCAAAAGCAATCAGCATCACAAACAGGAGAACAACAGTTAGAAATGATGCGAATGATGCAAGATCGACACAAAAAATTATGGAAAGCAAGCACTGGTGCCTCAACAACATCAGCAAATGTCGATGGCATTTTTGTCATCAATGCAAAAGTTTATGGAGAAATTGTAAGATATTCTATTTCCCGATACGACTGTAGTATACGCACATGTGATTTTTATACTTATATCGTTGAGTTGCTTTACTGTAATTGTTTTAGAATAGTTCTATCGATTAAAGACAATTTTTAACCAAAGATTTTAATATTTTTTAATTTATCATTGAATGCATAGAATGCCACACGGCTAGATCTCTGAAACAGCCCATTGCTTGATCTCTGAATCAGTTACATATGTCAAGGGCCAAATATATGACCAATAATTTCGTTTCGTAATGCAACGCATGCACTGACACTTCAAGGATGAACTCTTTTGTGACCATTGTAAACGTCTCGCTGATGTTTGTCATGTCAACAAATTGGTCTCACAGTTCCGTTTATGAAGCCAAAAAATTTTCTAGCGGGGCCCCTTTTTCGTGAATGGCTTCTGCATACATCTGAAGATTTTCAAGACTTAGAACGTGTAGGGTCCATTCAATTACTCTATGTCCGTGATTGTCGTATATAAAATCAGTAACCAAATTTGATACCATGCACATCTCCGGAACCGATCGGCCAAAGCGTTGAATAATATCGGAGTATCGACTTGGATATGCGAGGTGGTTCAAGAGCGTACACAGTCCTTCGAGTCCAGAACAAGTTGTTCTTTGTGGGTACTTAATTACATCCGGAATTTGTAGAGTTTTCTGAAGAAATACGAGGTCGCACTTTTGTACTCTAAATTCTGCTAAACATTCGGCTTCGTTCATGTCATCCAGACAAAAAGGCGAATAATTACTGTTTGGAAACTCTGGATTCCTTGAATCGTACACTAAGTGCAATGAAATAAACTCTTCTTGCAGTCAGAACACTTTCTTCAAACAGTACTAAACAAAACTCTCTAATTTCTCGAAACGAAGACACCTCCCGTCGCTGCAATTTGCTTAAATTCTTTGAAATTCATAGGAAACGGTATACAAGTTTCCAGGCTTTTTGCAACAGTCACGTGGCCGTTAGCGCGAAAAACTCGTCACTTGCTAAAGCCTCCGACTGAAGATGACTGGCTGGAATAAAGAGTACAGACCTATGCATAGTGTCGACACCAAGCTTTGGTCGTGTTGTGTGAAATTAATCATAATAGGGTTAATCATTAATAACAATATATTTTTGTGAGATATATTGCGGAATAGTAGCATATGTGGTTCGCTGACATGGAATCTTACGTGACTTTCCTAAGAACGAGGAATGTTACAGATAATATTTATATAGGTTCATGAGTGGTATCGGCTGTTGCATTATAAAAAGGCTTATTTTTTGACGTTGGTAACGTTTCGTGATATTTCATGCTGGTTTTGCTCGAATGAGAGTTTTTATTGCATGCATATGTGGCCGTATTGTTTTTCCCTCTTGTATTTTCCATTTATATCTTGCTCATTCTGTTGAGAAGAAGGAAGTAAATAAAGTTTGACTGAATAATTAAGTTGCGAAAACAGTGTCTTTTGTGGCGCAGCTCTGATTGAATTAATCCGCGGTGCCTAAACAATTCCGCATAATTTTTTGTAATGTTCAAAAGGGCAAACATGCATGCAACAACATTGCAAGCCATATCTCGATTGTATCATAAAAACTGCATTGTCAGATGCTTGGCCTTAGACAAGGAGCTATGGCTCAAATTCATTATAATAAATCTAAATTGTCGGATATCCGTTACCGTGTATATAAACAAAAACCAAAATAAATTGAGGGGCTTTCATTAAATAAAAGCTAATATGCATGAAACTGCAAAATTATGCGTGTGTGAGAGCGAGGAAATTATTTTCTTTCGACGGAAGATTTATTCAAATTTCTTTTGGGTAGTTTCCTTACCGAAAAGCGAATTCAAGAAGTGAACCTTACACTAACATTTACCAGAATGTACGAACTTACCTTCAGGTTGTCGATCTTTGTCTACGACGAGAAGCTTTATCCCGACGAAGCCTTTTGGTAACGGAATATAACGAGATATATCTTTGCTGGTGACATTCATTTTTATGACAATGGGTGAACTTCTTTCTTTCCAGTAAAGAAAATCTCCAACAACGTCCACTGACATCCGTCCACTAAGAACAGCTGAACCATAATTAGTTGTTTGATTGATGTTACGGCCATCGTAATCCATTTCAATTATGGCATTAACTGTTCCCCATCCCTCGTACGCGTACACTCGCTTCCTGTTTTTATCCAGAGCAAGATAGTCTGCATCATTCCCATATATTTGTTTTTCCTTGTTGGTAGCCAAGTGTCTTCGCATTACCTGTCCTCCATTATACCGAATCCAAAATAGATATCTACAGTGAACAACAATACAAAATTGTAATTATTATAAAAACTGGCTCAAAGTTAGCTATATAATCAGGGATATTGCGATTTAGGGAAACAGAGTGATGACAACGGCTACAAATACAATAAATAATTTAATTATTGAAAGACATAGGCCTGTACACCAAAACTCATTGAGTTGGATATCTCAATCTTCTCATAACGTTTCTATATGCCGGTATTTTCAGTCGAATACGATTGAGCTTGATTTTCTACAACAGCTGTCACAGATGTAAATGCAATGGGAGGATGCAAATCTATACAGTGTGGCAATGTTAGTAAAGATATTTGGCTATGGACCCTAGCTCGTAATAATTGGTTATCCATCGCGTTAACTCCGGGCAAACAAAATTCTGTTGCTGATAAACTTTCACGAGAATTTAATGCGGTATTAGAATGGACGTTACATCCATCTGTATTTAACACGATCGCCGAACACTTTAATCAATTCGATGTTGATCTCTCTGCCCGCCGGATAAACAACCAAATTGACGTTTATATTTCGTGTAAACAAGACCCAAATGAATTTTCAGTGAGTTGGGTAAAGTTCGCTAACAGTTAGGCTTTTTTACTTCCTTTTTCCTTAGTTACTAGACGCCTACAGAAAGTACTAGAAGAAAAAATGACCATGATCATTGCGGTTCCAATTTGGACGACTCATGTATGGTTTAAGGCCCGTTTATACACGAGCGATTTTTATGGCGATTTTTACAGTGATTTGGGCGGCAATTTTTTTGGCGAATTAAATTCGCAGGTGTAAACTACGTGCAATTTAATGGCGACAACGCCGCGATTTTGTCGCCGAAATATCGCATCTCTTCGGTTTTGCTCGAATATTAGCGCGATTTTCCCGCAAATTTCTGGAGAAAATGGTGGACAAAAAACACACAAAAAAACATAAAAAAGAAAACATGGTCTGTCGGTGAAGAAAAACTTCTTATAAGATGCTGGGCAGAGCATGAGTGCCTATTCAACACGAGTTGCACTGATTATAAGCGCCAAGACAAGAAAAGCCTAGAAACGATAATAAAGGCTATTGAAGAGGAATATGGCAATACCTTCGTAGGTATTTAGGGGATTCAACTTCTTACTGCACGTCTCGCATCTAGCTCTTTCGTTTTATAATACAAGACTTATTTCACTTCCAGTCGTTAAATCTTAGATTATTTTGTTTAATTGTTATATATGCAATGTACATGCAATCAAAATAGTAATAGTTACATACATAAGGAAGTACATTGTCCTTTTAGATTTAACCTTATTTAACTAAAATGAGGAATCTACGAACTCACTTTGGAAAAGAGTCAAGTGGTGCAGGTTCTAATGAGCTCTACATCCCTACTTGGAGGTTTTATGAGCAACTTCAGTTTTTAAGGGATAGTATAACACCTGTAAAAACAAAACCAACACCTGGAGTCCTTACTGAAGCAGATTGTATGACAATTGATTCTGATGATGATGGAAATGACTACATTGTCCTGGATCCACCACCAACAAAAGAAAGAATCTAGTTGAGGAGGATGGAGATTTAATATTTGGCAAACATGTCTGCCATTCATTAAGAGATGTAAAAGATAAGCAAAAGAAGGAGTTGGTAAAGTTGAAAATACAACAGATGCTGTATGAAGCACAATATGGCAACAAGACACAACAAGAAAATGGTATAAGTATGAGTAATTCTTGGGAAAACACATGCCCATGGCTTTTCTAAGCAATGAAAACAGTTGAATGTTCTTTTATTGAACCATAATGTTTAAAAAACAACTATGAATTATGAATTGTTGATATACACAATAAATTTTCAGTGTTCAAAACCTACATACAATTGGAAATTTATTCTTAATAATGTATTAAATATCAAACATTGTTCACATAACATGAAAATATGTAACATAAATTATATATATATATATATATATATATTTATATATATATATATATATATATATATATATATATATATATACAATTTATGTTACATATTTTCATGTTATGTAAATATTTTGACAATAAATTAATTTTGTAATTACAATGATGTGTATTACAATGATGTCCCACCAGGGGGTGCAGGAGGAGCATTATTATTGCATTATATAGTACTTGTGAGTGAGAGTCTAGGATCGAAAATTGTTGTGAATGATTGTGTCACTTTCATGAAGCCAGTTTTATACCAGAAGAACCTTTCATTGCCAGGAAACCTGTCTAGCACCATTAACATATTCTGACAGAAGATCCCTGACCATACTAGCATGTCTTGTGTGATTCATGCCTGGCGCTACTAAGGATTCCAAATTACCTTCCAGAGATCCTTTAGGAATGTAAACTGATGGCCACTTTCGAATCAAAAAGTTATGCAATGCAATACATGCATGGATAATGGCAATCGCATTTTCGGGTTTGACAGAAAGTGTGATATGGAATACTCGAAATTTTGAAGAGAGAATGCCAAATGCATTCTCACTTACTCTTCTTGCACGAGATAATCTGTATTTAAAGATTCTCTGTTCTTCACTCAATCCTCTCTTGGGTATGGCTTCATAAAATTTGGTGTTACACTAAAGGCATCATCACAAACAAAATAGTGTGGTAAAACTGGGCACCAGCCATCTACAATCATTGACTCAGTTGCTGGAAGGGGCTTCGATTCTGGAATGTTGAGCTTATTAGACTGCAGTGCTTTATATAAGATCGTGTTTCGCAAAACACCTCCATCACTAATACGGCCTTGGCATCCAACATCCGCAAAAATAAACTCGGAATTTGGACCCACCACTGCCATTAGCACAAGGCTATAGTAGCCCTTCTAGTTAAAGTAGTCTGAGCCACTATTTGGAGGATGTAGGATTCTAACATGTTTTCCATCTATTGCCCCCAAACAATTTGGTAACTGCCATCTCCAATGAAAAAGTCTGCTTATTTCCAACCATTCATTAGCTGTTCTTGGGCATGACACAAACTCACGAAGAACAATAGAAAGGGCTTTGCAAACTTTTGGAATGATAAGGGACAATGTTCCTTTGTTAATTCGGAACTGGTACTGTAAACTAGTGTAGGACTCCCCTGTTGCTAAAAACCGAAGTGTTACTGCAAGTTGTTCACTTGGTGATATAGCATCTCTCATGTAACTGTATACTGCAAGTATCCTTTTTCTTCAAAAGAGGATGTAACTTCTCTACTAACTGCTCAAACGTATCAAGGTTCAACCGCAAATAGTTCAAGAATGCTCAGAGTCACTCTTAAGATCCTTTAATAAACAGTGAAATGCTCCAAGTGTTTTCCTCGTGGCTATCCAACTCTTTATCCAAACAGTTCTTCGTTTTCTCTTCCTTACTCGTCCACGAGCAATTTGGACTGCAGCGATAGATAAACTGACAGCCTCAACTACTTCGTCCACTTCCTCCATATCAAGTTATTTCAGACATATTTGAACCTTACATCATTTTTTGCACTTTACATTTCATTTTGAAACATCGATGATTTGTTTTGGTTTTTAATTTATAACAATTTTCACAAATGCGCAATGCGCATATTTCAACAAAACACCGCTGCCCGCTATCAGAAATTGCATAAATTTACATGTGAGATTGTAACAAAATCGCCATTAAATTGCACGTAATTGCACGCAGTTTACACGTGAGACTTTTTATTTTATTAATCGGTCATCCCAGGAGCTTCAAAGTGACCAAGAATGTTCTCTCCAACACTCTAAACGGAAAAACTCACCATCTCAGCCCAAAGTTAATCATAATGGAAAGCAAACTATCAGAAATAACATCCTTGAGTTTTAGCGTTCCTGAAAGTGTTGCCGAGGTCATTATTTATGGAGCGACTCACAAACAATAAACTGAAGTAAATTACGTAGTACCGGCGAAAACACTCCCCGAGCGGGGAATGAGACGGGGGGAAAAAGTTCGAAAACACATGCACGAAGCGAGAACGAAGCGAGAACGCATATGTAGTAGCTATCGACCTTATGTAAATTGTTTTTATTATTATATTATTTTGAATTGTGATTGTGATTGTGTTGTGAAGACCCGTTTCCAACATAAGTGGCGTCCCCGGGTGGGCTGATTCAGTCCAGAAATCATGGAATCAATCGAAAGTTTGAGTAAAAATATCGAGACAAAACTCAAACTCATCAGCTTTACGCAAGAGCAAGCGGAGAAATCAGTCGGAACAAACAATGTTTTGGCCATCGGGCGACAGATTAAAACCTTAACAACGAAGGTTAGTGAGATACATGAAATCAAAGTTAAAATTCAAGAGCTAAAACTTGAAAATGGGGACAAGATAGAAGATATACAAACATGAAACACTGAGTTAGAAAACAAATTATTCACTGTTGAAGCACAAATTGCTGACATGGACATGTCCTTAAAAAGGATCAATCAGAAGGCGGTCGAAGCCGAGCAGTTTAAAGAGGAAGAAATGGCTGCACAGTCTCGACAAAGGAAATTTGAAGATGAACTAAAGCTCGAAAAAGCTAAGCTAGAACAAAGAATAGAGTATGAGAAAAGGCTAGAAGAGAATCGAAGTGCATCAAACCCAGACGGAACAAAGACAACCAAACTACCAAAGCTTGTAATATCTAAATTCAATGGTAACTACACAGACTGGACGAGATTTTGGGAACAATACGAAGCAAGTATCGGTGGTACCGACATTTCGAGTGTGACGAAATTTTCATATCTAAAAGTTGATGGATTACCGCTGACCACAGAGGGGTTTGAGAGAGCAAGAAATATTCTGAAAACTAAATATGGCAAAGAAAGTGAAATTGTAAATGCCTATGTCAACAACATCATGTCACTTGAACCTGTCCATAGCACAAATCCAACCAAGGTTTCCATATTCTATGAAATATTACTAACAAACAAACAAGCACTAGAAACTTTGGGCCGCTTGGTGAAGTAAATGGTTATGTACGAATGA